TTCAATTTTACACTCTCAAGGGAGAGTAGAACGAGAACAGATGTAGAAGTACATAAAAGCAAAAAGCCATTTCCTGCAAAAACGTCAGTCAGTTTGCTTACATGCCCTCGGTACAACACTGATTTGGCTGAAAGATCACTAATTAATTATTAAAATCTATGCCATTAAGAATAATTACGTACATATTCAAATATTTCGTTGTTTACTTCCATTTTTTAATAAATGTAAGGTTCCTTGCTTTCATCGCGTTCTGTTTTTGTTTACAAATGCAACCCTGCCCATCGTCTGACACTTTTCGTGAACATACAGGAAGAAAAACTCCGGACTAAATCCTATAACTTCTGACTAGGAACAGTTGATCAGCTACTCTCTCAGAAGTGTTCCCACTTACACGTTTTTTGTCTATAGGGGCGACTTCCTGTAAGTTCTGACTAAATTCTGTAAACCGGACTGCTATTGGAACAGACTAAAGCAGGGATCACACGATTTGTACATTTGTACACAAAATGCCAAATTTAGATTTGTCCACATTTGCGCATTTGGATAGCGATGTACAAATGATTTGTTTTGCGATCAGACGATTTGGCTGCCAAAGATCCAAATGATTTGGCACACATTTGCGCACAGCAGTAAAGTGACAAATATTGTCCACATTCATTCACACGATTTAACCATTTGGTCATAAATACTTAAACAGCTGATCCGGTGTCAACCATACTTTTGCATTTATGATTTCGTGAGATTTGAAGTGATATAAACAAAAATAATATATACGCACAGGTACTCAGAATTTTGAATACACCCTCAAAATCTGCGCTGAAGGTAAAAAACGCGTTGTTCATAGGTATATGCTTCATATACTTGCTCGTAACTTTTTTTCTGTTTGCCCGATGAAAAATACTTACATATGCCATTTAAAAGAAAATATTTCGTTGTTTACAACCATTTATAAATGGTTAATTTGTCTTGAGAATGGGTACCCTATGTATGTATACTAGTTAACAAAATAGTCGGACAAGTCGTAATTTAAAATGAAAAAAAGTTAAAAATTTAAATTTTGCATATCGATGGCTGAGTGGAAGATCGACCTATCTCGGAAGCCAGTTCAAAAACGCCCTGTCTCTGAAAATTTTTCAAGAACGCCCTACTTCAAAGTTTGATTGAAAAACGCCCTATTTCAGAATTTGGTTGAATAACGCCCTATCTCAGAATTCATTTCAAAAATGCCCTATCTCAAACGAAAATACATTGAAAATAAGCTGATATAGGGCGTTTTTGAAACGGCAGCTAAGATATGGCGTTTTTCAATAAAATTCTGAAGTAGGGCGTTCTTGAAAAATTTTCTGAGATAGCGCGTTGTTAAAAAATTTTCTGAGATAGGGCGTTTTCGAACTGGTTGCCGAGATAGGTCGATCTTCCACTCTGCCATCGATATACTCTGTAAGATTCCTTTCAGTGATCGGACTTCTACCACATTGTTGTAGATCAGCCACTTTTTTCAGCACACCTACCACACAAGGTCTGAAATCTACCACATATTCGCGTTTTTGAGTAGTTTTATTTTTGTTCAACATAATTTTCTTAATTTTAAGAGCAAAAATTTTCCAACACTAAACACTAACAAGAGGCAGAATGGGAGGATAAAATAAACTGTAAAATAGTAAATTTTCTCAATATTCAATTCTTCGACATCAAACGTGGTTTTATTGTGTTAAATTGCAAAATATATGATTTATAAAAAGAATTAATAGCGAAAATGATAAAAACCGGCGATGTTTGTGAAAGCATTAGCAAATTTCAGTGCATCTCAAATTTCTAAAGCGTTGTTTACTTTTACTTGAGAATTGTCAAAATCGGCAAATCACAAGTAGCATTTCTGGAACGAGCCACATTTGTTCGCTACATCGTGATGTGATAAAAAGAAAAGCTGGCAGCACTCTGCAAGGTTGCAGAAATATTTCAAAATATGTTCGAAACTGTCAAGGAAAAAAATTGCCAAAACCAACGCAATTTTTATCAACTTCAATCTTGCACTTTATTATACTAAAATTAATTTTGTTTTAGATTCTAATTAAAATGTTTGCAATTTAGGAGAAACCTTGAAGATTTTTTTTAATTTTTGTACAAAGTTTGATCCAAAACCTGAGATCTACCACATTTTTTTGAAATCTACCACTTTTTTTT